CTCTCCAACTTAACGTTTAGGTTCAGTGTGCCTCTAACCATTCGGTGATCGCTGCCGGTTTTCACCCTTGCGATCACTGAGACATCACTGAACAGTTGGCGTCTGGTCGTCATAATGAAGTCAATCTCATTTTTTGTCGAACCGTCGGGGCTCGATCAGGTCCACTTCCTGTGGAGCCGATTCTGGAAGAAAGAGTTCATCATAAAGAGTCCCCCTTTCTCCATAAAGTCAGCCAGCTGCTGGCCCCTACGGTTCCGTTGTCCTACTCCAAATTTCTCTAACTTCAGCTCACCGCCTTCTCTTGTGCCCATTTTTGCGTTGAAGTCTCCCATCAATACCGTGTAGTGTGTTTTGGAGGAATGCATGGCTCTAGAAATAACCTCATACATTTCCTCCACCTCCTCCTCCTTAAAAGTGTCAGTATTTATTTTTTCTTAAAAAAACTTACTTATACATATTTTGTTAAAAGTAATGAACACTCAATCAATTAATCAATATATTTTTATAATGTACACCATTTCACATAAAAACACTCTGGAAGCGATTTCTTCCATACAACCTTTTTGCGCAATTAACTTTTGTTTTCCAATGAATTACGAATATTTTTTTCTTTTACTCAATTATGACAATTAAGCAAAAGAAAAGGAATACATAAACACATAAAATAATGGCAATTGAGAATAGTAGGATACATACAATTAAGGACGGGAAATATGATGGGAAATATTAGATAGAGCTCCAAGTAATGAGGTTTAATTAGATTTTTGAAGGAAGAAAGCGACTGAGCAAGTTGAATATATAATAGTTACAGCTGTGCTAGAACAATTTATTGAAGCAGAAGGGTGAACGTACTGGTATTCGAAGCGAAAGATTGTTGATGGAATGTAGATGACGATCATGAATGGAGGAGATGAACTCAAAGCGGTCAACATCGAGAACGGTTGTAGACGTCGTTTTTAGTTTTAAATCAATGAGAAATAATTCGTATTGTAAAATTATTTGTAAAACAAACCTTTATTTTGTTTAATCTTTTATATTTTCGTCAACTTATGAGACCAAAGCACTATATTATATAGTATATTATATATATAGTATAGTAAAGTATATATATAGTATATTATACATATAGTATACTAGTGAAAGTGTTAAAATTTTGTAAAGATAATGAGTTTTTAAATTATAAGCGCTACATATTAATCCGGAAATTTGCAAATGCAAATATGGTTATGCATTTCGCTTTCCCTTAATTTGCAAAAAAAAATAAGTTCATCATTATTTGGTATAAGTGGTTACTTGTAACAATTTATTTATTTATTTCATCATCACCATCATTACAGCCCTTCACAAGTCCACTGCTGAATATAGGCCTCCCCCAAGGTATGCCACAAAGCACGGTCTTGAGCCACCTGCATCCATCGACTTTCTGCATGTCTTACCAGGTCGTCACTCCATCTAGTGGTGGGTCGCCCTACACTTCGCCTACCGGTACTAGGCTGCCGCTCGAGAACCTTTTTTCCCCAACGGTCGTCGGTTCTTCGAGCTATTTATTTATTTATTCTTAATTGTTACACCTTATAACTAAGGTAACAATGGGTGGACTTATTGCCTCTCTGCATTCTCTGCCAGTCAACCCGTAGTGTAGTGAACTATTATGGCAGGTGTGAACTTGCTTTCAATTTACGTATTTCAATAACTTAAAAACGAGCTATATAAATGTATATTGAAAATTAACTATGCTATCTTTTTCCCCTTAAATTCAGATATACTCAACATTTCAAATTTACAATAATTTCTATCAATTTATATAAAAGTTACAAGTTTTTGAATCTTTAAATCGCTCTCCTATAAAGTTATATTTTGCACTTGCATTAGAATACGTAAAACCCGTCGAGGTATTGTTACAGCTATATTAGTTTATTTTACTTATTTCCGTAGCATAATGTCATATGAGATCTTGCTTTGGAGTAATGCGACTGGCATTTAAACTATCCTTGTTTTGCTGTAGAGAAATTTATAACTTAATTTCGAAACAATCCCTTAGTGAATTAAAATTTAAGCATTAATTAACCTTGGGCTTTCAATATACCCTTTTATGAAAATTTTATGTATGCACACAAAAATAATAATAGTTTTATTATAAATAGTGGTATACATATCGTAAATACTAGAAACAAGTACAAGTTAGGTATACAAGTAACTCGACTCCAAAAAGTTAGTAATTCCTTAATGGGGCAATGTATATGTTTCTACAACAAATTCTCAAAAACTATTAAGGCCTTACTATCAAAAGGTTTAAAATTTTTAATAAGCAAAAATTGTTGAGTAAGGATTATTATACCACTAAATAGTAAGTGATTAACATATTTTTCTAAATATTTTCGTAATAATGGTATAAAATACTATATTGTAAATAAAAAAGTCCCGCTGGGTTTCTTACTGGTTTTTCCCAGGTAAGAGGTATTTTCCGAATTAGTTGTAAAGCAAATGACTTTCAATGATTATTCCTGTAATCTATATTAAATAAAAATGATTCCATTCTATTCCATCTACCTCGGATTCTAGATACTTCGATTTGATTGTGATGAATTTGACGCTTCGCTTCGACTTGACTCTGCGTAAATGTGGACAAGACAAGATCATTGCAAGCGCCCTATGTCCAAAAGGCAGGATAAGTATGCGGTAACAGTCTAAAACATTCTTTACGTAGGTCCCGCTCATATATATATATATAAAATATATATATATATATAATCGCCATATCCACGCTTATTTAATTTAAATAACAATTTTAATATTAATAGCTAAATATTAACCGAGCACACAATTCACCTGCGTAAAACTAAAGGACCGCAGAGAGTTTTTTTTATAGAATGAAAGTGACACACGAGTACACAATCCACATGTTGGTAAATGGATGCTGTAGCACATAGATATCTACATCCATTCCCGATGGAGATGCGTTGTCACCCCTGAATTCTAAGATGGATGATGGAATGATGGAAGATGGAATGCTTCATTTCCTATACAAAGGGTCACTGGTTCTCTAAACTCAGCTGTTATGTAGGCTGGAATTCTGTAAGAAGGTGGACTTTCACCGGTCGAGCGGATCCATTCGTGCTAGGACCATAACATAGCTGCAGCACTGATATACTTTCTCCAATAGGGTTTTGTTTTTGCTAACTGATGGTCTTAATGTTCATAATAGTTTTAAATAAACCTAAATTAAATAAAAAACTTATAATAAGCGGATGTTATGAAACTGTCCTCGATAAAGAGTCAAAATGCTATTTTATTACTTTTTTTTTTTGATAGAATTTTTCTTCTCAGTTAAGCTGACCCATTCGTAATGTAGCCGTAATTCATCCGCCGCTTTATTTTATTTTTTGTGACGGTATCTTTGCTCTTTATTTTGGATGCTACATTTATGTTCGATATAAATTTTAGTTATAGTTTTTTTTTTAAATAATACTTTATCAAGTTCATTCCGTTATGAAAGTAAATTATGCTACAAACAAAGAAACAATTCTAAAATTGTACAAAATTGGACCAATCTTAATGCGTAAGATGTATAGATTTTGTTACTCCGATGCAACTAATCAAATAGCGATCACGAAAATTTATACAACAGTCCAACAGTGAGCCTAACTCTTTAGTCAGGCTCACTGTTGGACTGGTCTGTTGGACCTGATGAGGACAATAATCGCATTTTGGTTTCAGTTTGATAAAACTTAAAACTTGAACCGCGGAAATCGATTATTTGCGACTTTAACGACAATTGAGTAACGAGCCTACAGATCATCTTACAAGGTAAGTCCCAGCACACAGCCTCTAACGATTTGAAACAAAGAGGCCTACACATTATACATCGTTAAAGGAATAACCTCATAGTTTTGTCAAACCGGCTCTAAGTTGGCTTTAATTTAAAAATAAAATTTACGCATAATGTTACCTCATCTTAGAACTTAGTGTATTAATAATAAATAAATAAATTTATAATGTCCTTTAGTCCTAAAAGTGGCTCAATTAGTTTAAAATATTGTAAAAGTTTAGTTAAGGGCACTATAGGCCTTTAGTTATATTAATATTTACCCATGTTACTATCTATTTACATGACTATTTGTTGCCTTAAAAAAATAAAAAAATAATAATGTGACCATGTCTTACATTATGATTTTTTCATGAATTGTCATGACAAATTATATTTTTATAATCCGCCATGGCACAGTGCATAAAATCAATCGTTTTATAAAGTAATTTGAGAATTCATAAAACAATAGTTTAAAATGAAAGAACATTTAAAGTTATTACAGTATAATTAGAGCCTCTATACGTTTCTGAGAAGTTTTTAGTGCAAAGGAATGTCCGCCGCACGCCAATGTGTTGGCAAACCTCACATGTTTCAAAACATTTTTTAATGTCAGACATACAAGTTTCCTCACGATGTTTTCCTTCACACTCAGCACTTAAAATAGCAATTCGCAACTTCAAAGGTACCGGCGGGGTTCGAACCCAAATTGCTCGCGTACTGTGAATCTATTGCGAGCGCATAGCTGAGGGGCTATCACAACACCAAATACTCTCAAATACGATTATTTATCTTATTTTTATTTTTAATTAAATATTTTTTAATAATGATTTTACTAAATAATTAATAAAATATTTATATAATACGATTGAAAAATTGAAAAATGAAAAATCTTTGCTGTATTATTTTCAGATTTTTAAAAGCGAGAAAAAATAATTTAATTGATTGTTTTTAAACTTCAAAACTTCTTACACATTCTTGCAGCTTAGTTTCGTCTATTTACAAAATACTTTTTGCGGAACAAAATATAGAACCTGATTCAAAACGTTAAAAAAACAAATGGTTTATTCACCACTTACAACATATTTAATATTTTAACATAAGATTATTAAGATAAAATAAAACGCACGCCGCACGTAGACGATGGTGAGCGGCGGTAAGTTCATAATGTGTAGCTCCGCCGCAGCGCGAGATAATGCATTACTTTTTTTTTCCGGTGACAAAGAATCGTGTGAAAATTAAACCAATGATAAAATGTGGCGGGTGTAAGACGTTTCAAGGATTACGAAAGCTTTTGGAAAAGTTAAAGTCAACGTATCTGCCGCTCAATACGACCCCCTACCTGTTGCGGCGCCGCGACATCCCGCACGGCATTCTCAAACTGTTACGTGCCCTAACGTGGACTACATACTTACCGGAAGAGCCTGCTTGGCCGTCGGTCGCTGCGCCCGTGTATTTCCTAACAACTTTTACTACAGTTGAAAACAGTTTGAGGCCTGTTCGCAGATGTTGGGTTCAACTACATTACTCCTCGGATACGATCGGGAGCGAGCACCAAACAAGACGTTCGTCCGCTGAGCCGTCCGGAGGCACAGTGTGAAGCCGATGCTACGCCGTCGCACCCCTCACCGGCCCGCCCTCCATCCTCGCCTAGCACCTTACCAGCCTTTTAGCGTAAATTATACTAATTTAATATATGTAATATTTTCTGGGGGCAGCAAGAGAATTTGGAACCAACAGCCGAGAGGGATTTTTTCATCAAGCGTCAGTCCCCAAAAGTTAAAGCATTGTTTTTTAAACTTCTATAGAAAAATAATTATGATTTTCTTTTTTAATTTTTAAATAAGATTTAAGATGAAATACATTCCGATCGTTTATATTTTTTCCAACACGATAGTTTTACAAAAGAACGGGATTCAAGAGGCAGCCTGTATACGTGGTAGAGTCACGCTGCAGCTATATTATGGTTTTAGCACGAATGGGTCGGCTCGACCGGAGAAGGACCACGCTCTCACAGAATACCAGCGTAACATAGCAGCTTACTGCGGCTGTGGTTGTATCGTGGTGTAAAGAACCTGAGACCCTTTTTACTGTAATCGGGGCGTTACATCTTAGTCCTCGGGCGTGACAATTAATTATAACACATCTGTTATATTATGCTTGTAACACGAATGGGTTGACACCACGAACCACGCTCTCACAGAATACCAGCTGAATACTGCTATGTTTCGTATAGCGAGTGTAGAGAATCGGAGATCCTTTTTACTGGAAACGAGGCATTCCATCTCATTCCTCAGGGGTGACAACGCATCTGCGTTTTGATTCATAACTGAGGATAAATTAAGATGTCTATGGGCTGCAGCATCCACTTACCATCAGGTAAACTTATAGAATAGAATAGAATCAAAATAGAATTAAAAATGCAAGTTTTGTATTACTTAAAATGGCTATTAAGTTTTTTTTTGTTGTCGGCGGAGCTTGAACTTGGGATCGAGTACTGCAAGCGCTGAGCTATTACTAACAGCCATGTTATTGTTGTTTATCTTCTGCTTTAACCATGAAGGTTTCTGGTAGTCTTACCTACTGGTAATCTAGACAACTTGGTAAGTTTACTGGGAATAAATATTTGATTACGTTTATTGTAGAAGGGAATGGCTAAACACTCAAAGTGATTGTCTCGTTAGCTATTCATTAATTCCGTTATTCGTAAAGTTACAGCGTCCACTGCTGAACATAGGCCTCCCCCATAGATTACCTCATAGGGGGGATATTTTTCATTGTTGCCACGTTTGGCAAGCGGGTTGGCAACATTTTTATGTCGTTATTAGGAAGACCCTGATCATCACCTGATTCATTTCACTCTTTCGCGCCATATCCCGTAATGTCATACGACACCCACGGGATGACATTATGTAGTAGTGGATTCTGACATCGCCACTGCTCGATAAATTGATTAATATTAAAATAAAATTTATTCCATTTATTCCACACCGTTAGACATGTACATGCAATCTTTATGAAGAAAGGAAATTCGAACACAGAAGTCTAAAGAAAAAAGCAGCGAAAAATCAATTTTTAAGTTGGATGCAAAAATTTTACAATGCACTATACCCTTTATCCGGCTTTAGCCGTTGAAAGTCTGTCCTGTAGGATCATATTAAAGATAATTGTTATACCCACTGTATTAATAAAAGCCTATATACGTCCCACTGCTGGGCACAGGCCTCCCCTCATTTCTGAGAGGGTTTTAGGGCAAGGAAGTGTCCGCCGCGCTGCCCCAATACGTGTTGGCGAACTTCACATGTCTTCGAAATATTTTTTTCTTATTCCTCAGACATGCAGGTTTCCTCACGATGTTTTGCTTCACCGCCGAGCACGTGGTAAATCAGCACTTAAAATTGCAATTAACAATTTCATCGGTGCCGGCGGGGATCGAACCCGGGTTACTCGCGTTCTGTTATATTTACAGCGAGCGTTAACCATCTGAGCTACCACGGCTCAATATAAATGTTCTATGAAGTTACTTTTAATTATTTTAATGGTATAAGAATACACTGTTTGTGAATAGTAGATTATTTTGTAATTTTCTCCTATATCATGATTCTAGATAATATTACGTGTTATCTCAAACCTGATTTTCAATTATAAAACAGATACTGCTTAATTAGTGTTATTATTTCACTTGTAATATAATATTCAAATAATGACTTTAATAAATTATGAAATATAAATCTTAACAAAATACTTGAGTAATTTAAATATCTTCTAGTAAATTTGTTACATGAATAAAATTATTATACAAAATACATGGGATTAGAAATCAGAAATTTCTTTTTCCAGATAACAGCGTTTCAATCGAGATTTTCTGTAAAGTATAATTTTCCGTCTATTTAAGCCCCCAAAATGAGATATATTTTCGAATATAATAAATACCGTGTAATATTTGATCCAAAGAGGATAATAACTAGCTGTCGTGTCATAAAAATGAGGAGAATCACATGAAATTTAAAAGATCGTTAAGAAATAACGTAGTAGTATATTAAAATATCGTAACGTAACGTAGTAATTCTGTAGTAGAAACTAGATTCAACACAGATCCGTCCTCGTTGAGTGCTCGCACGCGACTGTTCCAGCCATGCGCAAATTGTAGCGGCATCCCTTTTTTATTTGAACTAGAGAAATAAGTTTATCTTCTACTTTTTCGCAACACTAACGCGTAGGAAAGTTTAACATGAACTTGTTTTGAAAGTTTTTTAAATCAAGTTCATGTTTAAATATTTTTACTGTAAAATACATGTCACTATTACAATTTTTTTAAATGCATACTTGCGATCACCGCCATGCGTTGCATCTATTGTCTATCAGAAATTATTTTTGCGTCTCTATTCTGTCAGAAACTTCTCCCAGATGCATTTAACAAAGTTTAATCGTAATCGGATGAAAAGTATATGAACATTCAGAAGGCAACAAACAATTCTTTTTTTCTCTTCAGAATCTTTTCAACACAATAACTAACCAAGTTTTCAACGCAATTTTCCGTATAGTAAGGGGAAAACATACAAAACGAACAAAGAAACAAATAATCGCTGTACATTATATTAGCGACCCGCCACAGCTCTTTATAGATAAGACATATTAAGTGAAATTGTTTAAATTTAAGGTAATCATCAAAGACCTTTTTTTTTATCAATTTTATCAATTTTTCGATATTTCAAAAAAAATCTCCAAGCTTTTCGGATAAAATTTACGAGTAACATAGATTTATCTCTCTTTATCTGTCCGTCAAACAACAATTCGCACGCGAATCTATGTATGCTCTATTCCTATACAGACCGCGTCGTACGTGGTCCACGAGGTGTAGTAGCGGGTGTGCGCATTCCTGACAGAGTTCGACTGCGAGATTATTTTCGCACGTTTGCAACAGACGCGAATGCCGTTGAATTTGTCACTGTCTAGAAAAGGTTTACCAATACATATCTGCACAATGACAATTGATATTGAAAGGGTGGCAATGAAATTAGGGATGAAATAAGGTACTTAATAAAATCAGAATATATTAATTCATGTAACTTCATTTAAATAACATGAAAATTTACAAAAAGATAAAAACTTATTGTTCGAAGAGTGTCTCGAAACTTATTTTGCAAGATAGAATTTTAAAAAGGTCTCACAACTAAACTTTATTACCGCCCTTGATATCCAATCTTAGTTTTCTTATTCAATAAAGTTAAACATTTTAGAAAGCTATAAGAAAGTCGAGTTTTTCATTTTTCTACATTTTAAACCTTTTTTCATGGTTTGGACTATGGTCTAAATTTGAAAAATTTCTATCTAGAAAATTTGTTAGGGTTGGTAGGACACTCTCATTTATTTCTGATCTCCAAACAGCAGTTTACATACTGCAGTTTAAGAGTCAGTGAGCCAGTAAGTATATTATCTGTCTGGGAGACATTTCGTGCTGTTATCAGGAAGCGACAACTCAATCGTGAAATTCTTTGTTTGAATTTGGTTCCACCACCTGTTGCACTGCTATCTCGTTTGCTATTCAATCATTATTATTTGATTTATTTTTGATCCCACGCAACGGTATCCACCGTTTTAAGTTTTGTTCTTTTGTTGTATTGATTCCATTTTTTGAAGCAAGTTCAGTTTAGTGACTTAATTACATTTAGATTTTATTTAAAATATTTCTTTTAAGGCTTTATCTACTGTAAAGGGTTGTAATTGATGGATGAAAGGATGAATTTTAATTCATTAATTTGATATTTGTCAGAATTTTAAAAGTAGTGATATGGGTCGCTGCTGTGTGTGTAGAATTCTCAAGGGGAATGTAGATAAATAATAATACTTTCACTCACGGTTTATTATTTTCCACAAATAAAATAGATCCAAAAATATAGTTCAAGTCATTAAAATTCAAGAAGGAAATACTTAACAAGAAGGAATATACGTAGGGATAGAGAGAAAGGCGTAGAGAAGTTCAAAACGTACTAAGTAAACAAAGTTTTGCACACACGTAAATGTTTCATAAAAAACATCCACAAGCCAAAGCGGTAATCTCTACGCGTTGCAGCACGTAAGCGACTGGTCTAGGGGGCGGTACGTTGGCACAACCGGCCTGCGTCTTCTGCCACACGAGATGACTCCAGAATGTAGTTGCGAATCGTCTACCAATCGGTAAGTACTGTGGTTAGTATGATGTTATGGTAATACCTAGTTTATGTATATATGGGTGTGAGTTAAAAGTTCTCTGCAGTGACATTTAACTTAGTTGACATTTGAACTCCTCGTGGAATGAGACTAATTATTTATTGCTTAATATAGGAATAGATAACTTTCGTAGATTTATTTATTGGCGATGGTATTATATAAAAACCTTTAAAATGAAAACGTCCAGAAATAAAAAGAGAAAATACGTGATGGATTCGAGTAGCTCTATTCATAAAGTTTACACACGTGTGGGTAGCTGTTATAACTGTTAATCGATTTATCGGTTGTAGCGTAAGTCTCACGTGTACTTTGCCCTGCGGCTTGTTTGGTCACATTTAAATATCCAATATATTATCCACTAGATTTTGCTTTTGTCGGAAAACGATATTA